ACTAATTGTGAGCAGATATCTAATAATTATATATATATATATATATTGTGCGAGTCCGAAAATCGTTCCTATTTTAATTTTAAGATGACATTTTTTTTAGCCTCAAACGGGTTACTAAGCTAAGTTATATTTGGTGAACATAGTGAGAGAATACATAAGAAAGATGAAGCTAGAGAAACATAAATTGAACAATGCAGCATTTGCGGGTAAACATGTAAGAGCGAGGAAGCAAGAAAAATAATTTTGGGAAATATAATTTGTCGGATAACATATAGACATTTTTGGATAGCATGTGTTATTTAAGCGAATCTTTGTAAACATATACAGTTGGGCAGTGAACTGTAATTGAGAACTATGCCTAAACTTCTGGTGATCCTCTTAGCGATTCAAGCTGCATTGTTTTGTTAAACTCTGAGAGTGTCTGCCTTCAAAACACAATAATCGGTCGCGAAAATTAAAAAATTTCTTATGCGAACTTGGCGAGCGTCGAACGCGAGTCAACCATACTTCCTTAGAATGTTTTCAATATACTCTACTTGGAACAGTGTTGTAGGGCAATTTAAAGTTTCACTTTGACCGAGCAATGCGTTTTCGCTTTGTTTTTATACTGTATTGAGAGTTTACAACAGCATGACAGCAACAATATTGAGAACGATAACAATTTTGCTGCATATTGCTGTTTGTCGAAACTTGGATCTTGGGGGGGTAACGTGAAAGTGCCTTCTTTTGTTTTTTGTCACGTACTGCGGTACACTGGTTGTGCTCTCACATTTTTCCCCGTCTTCTTTTCTCTCGCTTTCTCTACGTCTCTCTATCTCTCTTTCTGTCTTCTTCAACTCTTCCTTTAGATTTTTAGATGACGGCTATAGAACGATATGCATGCAGTCAAACGTTGTTGTCATTATTGTTATTGTTGTTTGCTCGATTGTCAAACCAAAAGAATACGTGTTTTTACCAACATTTTGCACAAACAGTTTCCTTTTTGTGTCTAAAAAAAAAGGAAAAAATAACAACAACAATATATATAAAAAACCATAATAAAATACTTGAACAAAATTGTATTGCATTAAACAAAGTGGAGGAGGAAAGGGGCTATATATATATATATGTATATAAAAAGAAAGAGAACATTTTACTTTTCTTTAAGAACCCATAGAAGACTCGTGCTAGTCAGGCAGGCATAGACCGCTCATTGAAAATCAAATGCCGTTCAAGTGTATTTATTGCTTGTTAAGGGGCTTTGAATACAAAATATATTTATTTTTTTTTCGCATACAATGTGTTCACAAAAAACTTAGGGCTTCGAAAGTAACAACAACAATAAAAAGAAAAGAAAAAAATTCAAGTATGTGGAAAAATATAATAAAGCCAACAAGAAATTTCAGGGAAAATTTCAACATCATCGTACATGGTAAGGAAAAAAGGGAACATTTACTGTTTACACGCACATCTCTTGACGAAGGAAATATTCGATGCAAACAGAAACTTCTAATAGCATCGACAAGACACCCCGCCGCACCGTATACACTTGCAAAAGCAAGTGCTACCGCTACCGTTAATACCACCACCACCACCACCACCACCATCATCAACACCAACAACAACAACAATAAAAACAAAACCAACACCATACCTATCCATTCATCGTTACACTTAAATGTTTCTTTTTTTTTGAACGGGGACCGCGTATGCCGTGTTTAACAAAATAAACACGTATTTATGGATAATTATGTGCGATTTTTTTCCTTTAACAGCGAAAAATTGTTTTTTTCCTTTTTTTTTTTTTTCTGTTTACAAGGCGGTCACGTGTCATCAGATTTTGTTAGGCAAAGTGATAAATGTCATATTACGGCCGCTGAAGATTTTTCTTGATTTAATTATATGCTCAAATAAATGTTTAAGATCTGGTTTTATTTGAATACAGAGATAAGTGATGGGATTGTTATTGTTATTGTCGCAGTTGTTGTTATTATCGCAATTACTGTTTATTTTTACGCAAACAAATCGATTAAGATGAGTTAAGCCAGATATGCTTACAAAGATTTTCTAAGATTAGGCATACATTTCGCTCATATATTTACATAAGCATTAAGATGGATAACAGTTTACTAATAGGAGGCAGACGATCCGAGTTGAATTGATTTGATTTCCACGGGGCAACCTTTAATGACAAAATCATTATTATGTCAATTGATATCATTAACTGGCTGTCTCATCTTCTCTCTCTCTCCCTCTAACCTAGATCTATGCCATCTTACACGTTAATGATTTCTCATCTGCTATCAAATCGTCTCATGATAACACTTTAAACTATTTTCGTCCTTTAACTTAATCTGATTTAAGCAGTGTGACCACATGGCGCTTAATTAATTCCGCGATTTTAACCGGCAAGGAAATCTACAAAGTTTGTCATACAAAGAATGGAAAAGTTTTATTCTGTACTTAGTGTAATCATAAATTACACTTCAATTATGAGTTGAATGTTTGAATCTACAGCTGGGCTTTATTAAATGTTGAACGAGAAAATTCGACGATCCATATATTACCAAAAGGCTATGTACTAACTTGGTGAGCACTTTAACGCAATACGGTTCTTTTATAGGGCCACCTTTTTCCCGTTGTCATGCGGAAATTACCTGAGAGTTTTCCGCTAAGCAATTCAAGCTTACTGCGATCCACTTATCTCACTAGGGGATGTTCTTTCTACTTCTCCCTTTGCCACTTCCTATGCCTGGGAGAAAACCTTGTTTATTAATTTGCAGATGACAGCATCTCGTGTCACTCGTTCTGTTTCAACAAGAGATCGTGCAGCGGCAAACAACATAACTAAAGTTACATGACGCGTAACACTTTTAGCCGATATCTTACAAAAATGACAGGAGTGGGCGAAGCTAATAGGGTGAACTTCTATGCCACCAAAACGCTACGGGGCATCATAACGCATAGGGACGATTTCTCTCCTATGATTGCGTTAATGGAGAAGAATCGACAACCCTTGATTTTCTGGACATGATAACTCATCATGACTGTCTTTTGGCAGACCTTTTAAAGCAGTATTTGACATCTACTCGACCCTGGGATCGTCTGCATACCGACATAACAACCGCGTCTCGTCGTTTTTTAATCGCAATGTCTGCCTTTGGAACAATCTACTAGCGATGGTGTTTCCACTTTTTAATTGTTAAGCCGAACGCACAACTGTACTATACACTCCTCTCTTTTTTTCGGGAACATTCCCTACAATTAAAAGGTTTTTAACTATTCGTTCCTAAGATTAACACAGACAAATTTTTTTTAAATTAGTAGTGATATGCGAAATCTAATTAGAAATAATATATTTGGAAATAATGATTGGAATGTTACACCGCGTACATAATGAATACTGTAGCGCCACGACGATGCAAATCAAATTTTTCAAAAAATTTTTGTTATAAGACATAAAAATTATACAAATTTATTTAAATAGCAATTGTCTTCGAAATTTCGATGCCACATACAAACTCTGGCACGGGAGCGTCCAGCAGATCCTATCAATTTTTTAGCTGCTTATCTATTGAAAAATAAAAATCGCTGTGAGGAGGCTATACCGGAAAATGTGTAAATGTGTAGAGTGCTTGGACAATTAAACTTTTCTTACAAGTTTCAATAAACAAGTTTTCAGTAAGAATATATTATAATATCTGCCAAATATTGCATTGAAATAAGCTGGTCCTATAATTAATTTTTCGAACGATTTACTTTTAATTTAGTTCACGTAAGTTTCCTCTCATTTGGTGTATAAAAAATAAACTTAGTTGTTTAAATTTTACATAAAACAGTTTTGTTAATCATCAACTTCCATTTCGCTAACGCCTAACGTGCTGGCCACAAGACAACCATAACTTAAAGCATTCGAAGCTGTTATATCAGTAGGGGGGGTGATATGGGTTTTGACCAAATTCGAAGTTCGCTCATTTACTTCTCCTTTAATTTGACCAAATTCGAATTTCGCTGCATTCTTCTACGTTTGTTTATAAGGGCCAGAGTTGTTCAGTTAAGTTCGACAACAATATGTAAATGAAAATACGCAAATAAAAAGATAACACTTTCTATTATAAAATATTAGTAATACAAAGAAACAAACATAGAAGAATGCAGCTTACTTCGAATTTGGTCAATTTAAAGGAGAAGTACTTGAAGTACTGGAAGAAGAGGTCGTGAAGTACTAGAAAACCATGCTCCTTTTGATGTTCATTCCTCTCGATTTTGAGTGCAAACAGCTTTTTTTCGCACGATCACTCATTCCAAAGTGCTCGAAACATCGATTGAAAGTCTCGATGTCAGGAAAACAAGTTAATTAAATCCTTATAAAATATGTTGTCTCTACATAGAAAAATTAAATTGGACTGACAATCGTGTTCTGAGCAACATCACAGAGCTAACAATTGATATTGGAAAGTTTTATTGTGATCGTCGTTCAGAAGTATAAAGCCGAAAAAATTGTAACAACAAAATAAATTATTTTATTATAAATAGCCAATATAAGCTTGGAAATTTATTCTCATGAGAATTTGCTAAAATGTTCTAATCACCAAACACATTCCAAAACCATTTTATGAGCTTGCTTGATACTTGATTTTATGCATTTATTCCAAAATAATTTTTTTTATGGAAAGTGTTTCTTTTCATAAGGAAAATAATATTTTATTTCCTTTATTAACTCATAGCTTTACAGATCCGAAGCTGAAGCCCATATCGCAATCCATCGAAATATTTAAAATATTTTCATAAGATTTTTCGCTTATTATTTTCTTACCTTTCTTTCTGAAATGGCAATGCTCACCGCTTTTCTTGCCAAATAAATTTATGAATGAAGGCATTTATGTTTGCTCATATGCTTCTTGCTTTGCACCTTTCGCTGCTTGTCAGCTGTTTTTCAGAAATAGCTGACAGCGGCTGATTTTATAATTTTGTTTTATTTATGTGCTATTTTTCTAAAGTAAAAAAAGAAAAAGGATTGTTTTCACATCAGCGAAAAATTAGCAAAAATTTCTTTTAAGTAATAAAACTAAAAAAAAAAAGAAAAGAGAAATGGAATTAAATGATTACAATGGTTTTGACGATCATTGTAAAAGTACGGATTTAGTAAGTGTGGAAACAAAAGAAGTGAATTTATTATTATTTTTTCTTTTTTTTTTTTGTTATTTTTTTTATTGTTTTTTGAAAATGAAGGCGAAGAAGAATAATCCAACCATGGACTCTTCTATGGACCAGATAATGCAACGCAAAGATCAAGAGTTTATAGACCACGTAAGTTGACACATCGGCTTAAGGCAACCTAAAGTTTTCTATATCATGTCTCACGTTTTTCAATTGCAGAGTCTATTAGCCCCGGAATATATGCGCGGCGGCGATCCGAACAACTTCATTATAGATTTGATAAATTTTCCAAAAACGGTCAATACGCCAGGCAATACCACCGATGCTCTATCATCTGATCTCCATTTCACCAGTGCTTTGTTTGCAGAGAATGCAGAACATAATGCCTCAGATGATCTTCGTAAGTCTACTAGTCTTTGTATTCCACTACACGGCGATTTCCTTATGCCGGTTCATAAGACTTTCAATACGTCAGTAACCTCGGTAGAGACTGTTGAAGAGAATGGTGTTAAAGTAGTTCAACAATTGTTGCTTACTGAGCCGAATGAGACGGCGACTTTGGATGTAACATAACTCGTAACTTTTATTTATTAGGAGTTTTTAAAATTGTTCTTGTCTTTGGTAGGACACATCAATCGATCTCGACTGTGATATGACACGTTTTAATTCACGGAAAGTATTGCCTCATAAGAAACGTATATCTCGCAAATTGAAAATAGTGCAAGACGACTCGGACTTACAGTTAAATGTACCCTTAGAGACGCATAAATTGGCGCCAGTACAGCAATTGGTAGTGCTATTCCGCTGTGAGCTATGTGGTCACGGCGCGTGTTCACAGTTAGAGTTTTTCAATCATCTGAAGCAACACTACGAGCCCTCTACACCGGATACTATATTGGCGGTCATGAAAACATCTTTAGACGCTTTGGGACCAGAAAAAACAGACGAAGTCACCAATTTGTGCTCTTTAAATAAAAAGACTGATGATTTGGATCAAGTATTTCCAGACGTTCATTTTCCATTCGGAAATTTCCAACAGAACGACGAAGTGGACGCAGTAAGAGTAGTCATGGCTCCACCTCAATTGCCTCACAACCAACACAATCATCATTATCAACACGATCATCCGCATACGCAAGGTGCAGAACAGGTCGTGGAAGGAAATATAGATGCACCTTCGAATAGTATGTCACACGGCCAGACGTCTACTCAAGCATCCGCACAGGCTTTAGCATCCGAAGAATTTAGTGATACTGAAGATATGCTGGAGGGCATAAGGGATAAAGTATTTGTTGAAGATACCTGCGACACGATAGATCTTATGACTCCAACCCCTAATGGCACCAGACCACATTGGTAAATCGTTAAAATTTTTCTTGATCTGTATAAATTTTGAAAGCGATACTATTATTGTGTTTCAGGTTTAGCAATACCGGTTTTGGTGCTATAGAGTTGAAAGCCAAACCATTTTGTGATGTTCTATTCTCTAATCAGTTTCCTAACATCTTACCTAACGACGGTAATCCGTCCGAAGACTTAGCCTCTGAAGAAGATGCTGAGGTTATGAAATTGACGAATAAACCCGTCATAGCTACAGAAGAACATTCTCCACCCCTGGCAACATCGATTTCTGCAACTCTTTCTAAAAATAGCAAAGACTTACCGTTACGTTTATGCAGCGGTAATCAAATCATAGAAAATACTGGACTATTAATCACTCAGCCAAATAATTGCGAACAAAAACAAGAACAAGAACTTAATATATCTCTGGATTCAGAGGAAAACTTTGGAGTCCCTGCACCCCCTGTACCGAATACTATTGAGGAGACTGAAATAGGCGAAGAGTTTATACAAGAAAAGCCTCATATATCGGAAGAAAATGTACATCCCTTTTACTCGCAGTCTCGAAGAAAATGGATGGAAGATGACCATAAACGTTATGTTTGCTATAAATGTAAACGCATTTTCAATTCGTGTAATGCTCTCAAATACCATGATCAAACGCATACCGGGCTTAGACCTTATCAATGTGATATTTGTGGAAAATCATTTTTCGCCGTTGGGGCCTTGAAAGCTCATACACGCACCCATACAGGAGATAAGCCGTACCACTGCCAACATTGCGACAAAAAATTCCGGCAGTGGGGAGATCTCAAATACCATACAGTATCTATACACAGCGACGAGAAGAATCATCAATGCGAGTTCTGTGGCAAATCGTTTGCCCGTAAATATTCGTTAGATCTTCATCGTCGCATACACACAAGCGAACGTAACTATAAATGTGAAACCTGTGGTAAAGGCTTTCGCGCCAGTCATTATTTGCTAGAGCATCGTAAAATTCACACAGGTACAGGAACAAAAACCATTTTTGTAATGGCTTACCTTTAAATAATTACAACAGTAATTATTTGTCTTCATTTTAGGTGAAAAACCATATCAATGCAAAATTTGCTCGAAACGTTTTCGTATTTGTCAAGACCTGAGACGCCACGAACGAATGCATGAACGAAGAAAATTGAAAGAAGCCGCCAAGAAGGAACAACAGGATGCCGCAGTTGCTACACAAATTACGTCATAGTCAGCATTTTTCGTTAAGCACAGAAAAAGGGAGAAAGGGAGAGAGCTTAAGATATGGACTTTAAATGAGAATTCGAATAAGATGACCGAAATTTCAAGGAAAATATGAGTATACATGGAGGTTGTAACGTTTCTTTTGTTTTTTTGTTTTTTTAGGCAAAGCTTTTCACTCGATAAAAAGTTTTTTTTTTATAGTCTTCACTTCACTTCACTTCTTCTGCTTTCTTACGTTCCCTCGACTTTTTCTGCCACTTGTAAAACAAGTACAAAAAAAGAAAGGAGTACAGCTTTCCAAGAAACGAGTATACTCCAAAAAGAATGCGTTTGGTCAACTTAGTATTAGCCTTTAGTGGCGAGATTTTTAGCTATTTAGATATATGTAACGAGTAATAATAAAAATGTCGAAATATTTTATAACCCTAAGTTTTTTCATTACTTAAATAATAATTTTTAAAAAAAATTTGTGATAATAAAGTTTCCGTTTGTTTTTATTTTCAGCTAAATTTTTTTTAAATGTGTTTACGATAAGTTGTATCATTCTCATCTCTACCTAAATTTATGCAAGATTGTTAGTTCACTTTCTACGAACAAAACTTTCGCAGGAACGTTACGTATAAATAAAAAAATATAAACATCCAGCACGCATCACACAGTATTTGCAGACATAAAACTCATTTACTTTAGCGTTTTTGCATTCTTTATATTAAAATGTAATTGGAAGCAAAATAATAACGTCATGTCTCCCCAAACTTCCTTCGAATATATCGAAGCGTCAATAACTTTGCCTTTATAGTGTAGATTCATTAAATTTCAAATACTTACTTGGCACTCGCCAATATACCTGAAGCTAGTAGAAATCTGTAGAGTCTTGAGACACAATGAGTTCTGCGTTTGTTCAATTACTTCAAGGTGTTCGCTTTCCCTACCATTAAAAAACCATTTCTGATGAAGAAATGTGTTCTGTTTGCGCGAGTGCTTGAAGCACTTCATTTCTTTAGAGAACTGAAACCTGTTTCTGAATAATAGCTTGGGCAATGAAAACAACAGTTTCTGTTGGTTCCGGCTTGCGAGATGTTTTCTCATTTAATTTCATTCTATTATAATTTATTCGTTTTTTTGAACCACTTTTATGTCCAGGTCATAACTTTAATTTGTGGACCAAATAACAATGTGAGCGGATATTATTCTAAATTTATAGCGAAAACATAAAAACAATAATTTGTATGTATGTTTTTTTCTATGTATAAATAGGCCTTTAGGCACATAAAACAGATTTTTCTTTTATGCTTTTTATGCTCGCAAGCGATGTTTTTTTTGTTCAAAAATCTCTCGCTATGCTGTTACGGGTCACAATTTTCTGGAAAAGGGACTCAAAATATAGTGAATAGGATTTTTCAGAAAATAATTACTCTGAACTGATTTCTTTTCGATGAAAAATTGCTTTTATCGAAAAAAAAACTCATTATTTATTAGAGAATCATATAATGAAGCTGCAATGAAAATTAAATCATTAAAACCATGGAAAAATATTGTTTCGCAAAAAATGCGTTTAAAATATTAATTTTGGAAAAATTTTTCTACTACTTATAATGTACGCCGGGTATATCACACAATTGGTTTATTCACCTTGAGAACTTTTGTAGGGCTCGGAAGATTATTCTTAAATTTTTTTCCATCAATTATTGATCTTTTTACTCGCCAATCATTATACAGACTATGTTCGGGAAACGAGTTACTGGGCCATTTAAATTGTACTCCCTTATCCTCCACTCCTGCACTGCTATTGTAATTTTTTTTCATTCTAGAGTATCTGAAAAATCATTTAAAGCAATAATAAAAAACAAAGAAAAAATCCAAAAAAGGTACTCATCGTTGTGCAGGCGATATTACCCTTTCTAGGGACCGATCGTGTTATGTCATTTCGCTATTCAACTAAATTTATATTGAAATATTATGAAATATTGAATATTATGATATATTGAATACTATGAAATCTTCGCGTAGTGCCCCATGGCAATGCACTGTATCCTTTGTCATTTATAAATTTATATAACAGGGTTCAAGGTTATTATAATCAAATATTTAAGTTAAGCAAGAAAATTATGTTAGAATAAAAAAGAAACAAGAAGAAAAATTTATTGAACACTTACATCGTTTACCAATAATTTTCTTCTTTCATTGAGTGCTAGAAGGATCGTTCATTCATTATAACCCTTCAACGAAGCTATTAATTTAGCGCATGAGCTAAAGAGGATCTTACGGTATCTAAAAATTCAATGCGAATTTTTTCTTTTTGTGCTATTTTAATGGCTAATCCAAGAACAAGAAATGTAAAAAGAATAAGTAAAGAACCTCCAATAATCTTCTTCTACTTCTGCAAATCAGCAAATCACCAACGAAAGAGTCGCTGTTCTGTATGAAAAAGGTTCAATGTGAAGACTAAGTTCTTTGTTTGAACCTTAATAAAGTTGATAAATTACTTGAATATAGATATATATGGATGTATGTATAAATATGTACAAATGTTATGCGTGTTATGACGTTTCAAATTCATTCGCGACTTTTGAAGAAAATGTTATCGGATTATCTTCTTCTTCAAAGGACTGGTAATATGGTACAATGTACAGTGAATTTTGTATGTGAGACGCGATGAAGTATGTATCTTACGAAATATATATTAAATAATGAGTTTTATTCCTTCTAAAATGTGGGAAATACTGCTTAAAAAGTTTAATTGATTCCAATTTATCCAAATCAGGTAACTGAGGTACGTAGTAGTCAGTTTGCGGAATCTTTTACCCCAACTTCATTATTGTTTAAATATCTTCAATTTCGGCTTCATTTATTGAGTCTCCATCGGTATCATTATGATAAATTTTTATATATATAAGAAATTATTATGCGATAAAGTGTTGATTTTCTTCTTTACTAAAAAACAACTAAAAAAAAAAAAAGAAAAACTCAAAAAGCAAATATAATCTGCCTAACTTCAAAGGCATATTTTAAGCAATGTAACGCAAGAAGACATTTTCATGCCTATCATCAATTTATATTCTTATTTGCAATTTAAAAGTGGCGGCTTCTACTTGAATTTCGTACCCAGTAAAAATTCATGCAAAATTTGTAAAGTATGTCGAAAATCACCTAGCTGTAGAACTTAATTTGTAACGACGTGGAAAGAAGCCAGCGGTAGATAACTGTTAATATGACAGATTTATTTATTTTACTTTGACTTTTCCACTTTCTCAATTAATGTCCTCGAGTTTTTGACGATATGTGAAAGTTTGCTCTAATAAGTATATTGCGCAGCTCTTTCCAAATCACTTTTACTTCATGAAAAATTATTTTTTCTTTCCTAAAAGAAATTTTTTTTCTCGGATTTTCAGATCAATTTGAGCGATAAAATTAGTAATCATTCTTTCATGATCTATTGGCCTGAAAACAATGTTTTTATTTCCATCCAGAAGGCTCAATAGATTAAAGCTATAATTTTTTTCGCAAAGTTCGGCTCGCATCGCAGCTTAAGGTATATGTGCATATGCTTATATATAAAATGTATAATGTAAAGTAAGATGAAACTTGAGAAAGTAAGATTGCCCGAAGGAATAGATTCATAATTTGATTGCAAATATTTATGTTTATTTATGTTTTGCAGACAATAAAAAGCTTTAAAATGCCAGAGGATAGCGGTGGAGGTCGCTAAATTGCGTAAACGTAAAATGTCTAGATAAAAAAATATATAATGTTTAATATTCTCTTGTGCAATATTTTTTCTTTATTGTGTTGCGAAGCAATGTTGCCAGCTAAAAGTAAAATTCCTTCATTATATACAGCGTTGAGAAAAAAAATTGAAATTGTTATTATTATTAATGTCATACCCTTTTCTCAGAATTTGTGAATTAATCAATTAATTAATTGGTATTCATCATTTAATGAATATAATTAATTAATTGGTAATCATCATTTAATGAATATAATTAATTAATAATATATATGCATTTACTGCTAGTCATTTAAGGAAAAAAAATACCTGTATATAATAATTAATTAATAAATTAGAAAAAAAAAAAAATTTAAATTTGTTATTGTTAATAATACACTTTTCTTATAATTTGTGGATTAATCAATTAATTCATTGCTAATGATCATTTAATTAATATAACTAATTAATAAAATTAGTAATTAATTAATAATATGTATATATATTAATATATATATTATATTCAATACATTAACTTAAATATCGTTGAAAATGTTTCATTTAGGTTCTAATTTAAATTATTGTTAGTCAAAAGTGTACATTGCCATACATCAAACTACGTGTCTCAAAATATTAAAACAAAAAAGACAATAATTCTAAACGTTATAATAATGACAATTCTCGAAGCTTCTCCAATGCATGTGGACGCTTAATGGGGAATTTGAAAAGTCACACAATCAAAAAAAAGTTTTTTTTGGACATAGCTGATTTCATTAATACCCATCACTAGTCGCACTTTACCTATTCTTCTAAATAAAGTCTTCAGACTGATCAGCGGGCAAGCATATCACTCTAATCAAGAATGTAATGACTTTCGATATACAAATGTTGTTTGCCTGATACTGTACTTGTAAAATGTGGTTTCGATATAACACACAACAAAATTGATGAATATTATAAGATGATTTCAATATAACACGATTTCAAATAATTCAATTTTTTTTTTCAATTGATTTTTATTTTATCCTTGAGGAGAGAGAGAGAGAAAACAAAAAAGAAGAATAATTGTAATTTTTGACGAAATTGTTTCCTAATTTTTGCAGTTTGTCGTAATTTTAAATTTCAACTTCAGAATTTGAACTTAAACTTACCCATACATTTCGAACGAAATTTCATAACAAAATTATCGTCATAAAATTTCACATCTTCAGATTTGGATTCGATAGAACACGGCATGCAATGCGTTGATTTGCTTTATTTCGCTGTAGCTTTTCACGTGGTCTCAATACAACAGGAATAAGCTTTCGATACAACACGGTACACATTGCATTGATTTGTCTTATTTTGAGCTAGCTTTTAACACGGTCTCGATATGACACGAGTAAAATTTCGATACAACACAGTACGCATTGCAATGATTTGCTCTATTTCGTGGTAGC